TCATCTTCAAGAGAACCGTAAACATAAGAGGGCCATCTCTTATGAAACCCTCATAGTAAAGGGCTGGTTCCAGAAGTGTTTTTCCCGAAACCCAAAAGCTATCGAACGAAAATACACCCGAAGCCTTATCTAATTCAACGCAAAAAGAACAAACTTTGCACAATACTTAAACAAAAGTCTTCTTTATTTATCAATATACCAAAAAACATAAGTACAAAAGAACAAAGAAAAATAACAAAGAAAAAAGCAAATATCTAAACTTCATCGCCACCGAAACTCGGGGAGAGAGAGGCATCTACGCCCCCTCCCCCGGAAGAAGTGGGCGGATATGCCGCCGGTGCAGGATCTTAGCCTTTATTATCATCATTCCCTTTAAGTTCCTCCTCGGTTCCCGAATACTCGAAATTGGCACTCGAAGAGTCAGTTGCGTCAGGTTTAGCCGGGAGACGTTCTCGAGCAATTAACTCCAGTGCTCGGGCCTTGGCGATTTCATTTTCAATATCAACGATGCTCATTTTGGCCTCATCTAAGGTTTTTCTCCTCATATGATACATAGCGTATGCCGTTTAAAATACAAGGGAGTCTTCTTGGAACTAGAGTTTTGACTTAAGCTTGTCAACCTCGGCCTGAAGAACATTCCTCTCGGATCTTGTGGCGCTGAGGCTAAGATCAAGATCACGGATTGTAGATATGTGAACCCGATTTTGCTCCATGATATTCTTAAACCTCTCTTCTATTCGAGCCCGCTTATCGTCGGCAGCAGCAGCCTCTTCGGCTTTGGAGTTCAAGTCTACCTCCAAATTATTCACTTGTTCAATAGAGTCAGACTCGCGCTCGACAGCAGCAAGCACAACATCTTGGACCTCAGCCTATTTAGCCTTAGCCTCTTGAAACTATACATTTATCTGAGTGGCTTCTTGGCTAAGGGCTATCACTTCCTGTTCACTTTGCTACAATCGAGCTTCAAGCTCACTTGCCTCAGCAGCCTTTGCCTCTAGCACCGAGAGACGAGCAGCAAGTTGGTCCCTCTCAGCCAACAACTGATCCCGCACGGACATAAGTCCTTCTTTATCAAGGATCAATATCTGAAGGCCCTCGGATGCAAGGAAGTTGGCCTGCAAAATGTATATCAAAGTCAGAAAACCCATTATAACAGATAAACAAAGAATAAGCAGTAAGAGAACAAGTAGGGTACCGCTGTCGCATTGTGCATGTCATTGTTCATCATGCACTCCCTTTGTATCTTCTTCTTATCTTTCTCTAACACCAGCGACTTCAGGTAATTGGCAAGCTTCACTGGCCTGGACAGCAGATGACATCCCTTCGAAATCGAGAGAGTGACACTCTTCCTTCCTCAGGGATCTAGAGAAGGGGGTCAATAATTGTGCCCTAAATTCTCATGATCGGGATACTGGGGAGGAGAAGCAGCCTCCTCTCGGATATTTGTGGCCGATGGAGGAGATGTAGCAGTTGTTGGTGATGAAGGCACAACTAGTGTGAGGGGATGAAGTTGATGGTGTTGTAGATTAAGAAGTAGCTGTGACAGGGGCAGTACTGATTATTGGTTGCTCACCAATGAAAGGCAGAAGAGGTCCAGTTTTCGATCTCACATATCCAGAAATAGCAACAGAGGTCGGAAAGCAAGAATCAACATTCTCTACTATCTCCATTTCTCCCCAAAATGCCCGGACCTCGCCTTCGGTTGGGATTCTAAGTTCTCCAGATTGAGCATTCTGTTGAGCTGGTGAAGATCGTTGTCTCCTCTGAAGGGAAGCCTCTTCATCACTATCTTCCCCGTCATCATCAATGACCACAATGATCGCGGCCGGCTCAGGCATGACCTTCTTTATTTTCTTATTTTTTATCCCCAGTCGATGACAAATGCCGCTTTTTTGGTTACTTGTTCTCTAGATGAGGACTCCGAGAGGAAGCACCCGCACCAAAGGCAGATTCGAGGGCACTGCTCCGAGTAAGAGCATCTTGCCACAACCTCTCAGCCTCAGCAGGATTGGCCAAAACCTCGACTTCGGGGCAGGTAGCAGAACCCTGCAAGAGTACTGAATCAAACAAAAAGGTATGGTTAGCAAGTTTACTTATGTACATACAGAGGTAGAAAGTAGAAAGAATCAGTTTACCATGGTTATTGACCTTCTACCCGTATTTTGGGGACCATCTTCTTCCACCGACGGGTTTCTGGCGTAGTAATATCCAGAATCTTCTGAACCCATTGGTCCAGGCCTTCAACCCTTGGTGGTGTCCACCGAGTAGCTGAAATAATGGGACAAAAAGGGTTAGCAATGACAAGGAACAATCTTTTTATAGAGAAAGAGATAAGTAGATTACAAACTTACGTGAACGACTCCATGATTCGGAAAAAGATGGAGTTGTAGCCGGGATAGTGTCCCTGGTAGCAATGATGATAAACAACTCCATCCATCCACAGTCATTATCATCATCCATGCTGGTAAGTAAGGCGTGGTGACCACATTTACTGAAATTTATTACTCTCCCGCAGAAGATTTTGGGGGAGTAAAGATTCATTATGTGTGCCAGTAGGGTTTTTCCCGTTTCTGTGCACAGCCGGCGTGGGCAAGCCACTATTTGCCACACATAAGGACCTACTTGTGCCAAGCAGACCTGGTACCGGTGGCATAACTCCAAGATCACGGGGTCAAGCCCCCACTCAAAGAAAATAGTCCTAAAGTGAAGGGGTATGTATAGACATACGTAAAACCTTTCTTGGTGAAGGTAACCCGCTCCACCAGGTCAGGAGCAATGATGTTTAGGTATGGGAAATTACAATCCTCCTTCACAATAGGAATACTGGAAGGGTGAATAGAAGAAGGATACCTGCTAGCAAACCAGTTTTGATATTTGTAGAAGGGAACTTCTCTTAGAAGTCATAAACAATGCACAAGTGTTTGGGTATGATGGTGCTTACCGTAGGGGGATCGACATCAACATCAACTGCTTTATCTTTGTTTCTCTTAGGGACTCCACCGAAGAGAAGACCAGAGTTCTTAAAAGATTTAGTAAAAGAAGCCATAATAGCAAGAAGATGATAGAGTGTTTTGAAGAAAATCGGAGTGAGATGAAAGCAGAAGGAAGTTAAGTGCAAAGAGGATAAAAGAACTTATGAAAATTTTAGAAGTGAAAGAGGTAAAATGATGAGTATAAGTAAAGATATAGACGGCTAAAATTGTGGTCATGATTACCTCGAGAACTGATAAAAATATTGCTAAATCGTGGGGCAACACTTGTTCGTGGTATTAAATGCGAGAAGACGTGCGCCTTGCCAAGCGTCAGAGATTGTTCAGAGATTTTTCGAAGGGAGCATAATCAGCGTGAGTAGGTCAAATGTTTGTCACCATATGGCATTTAATGAAGAATATTCTCTAATATTAAATAGGCAGTTGTTGCAGAGAATTTTGGCATTCATGGCCTATCGTTACATATTCATCAATTGCCCCATTTATTGACATTTAAGAGGGGCTTGATCCTAGGATCTTATTTCCTAGGTATAGCTATAAATAGTAGTTTCAACAACCATTGTAGAGACACGAAAATCTTTAGCAAAATTTATGATGCATTCTATTCTTAAGCTAAATAAGATCACTTTACTTTTTTCTTGCATATTGTTCTTATTTCTGTCCTCGGAGACATTGCTCTCGGAGCCAAGCCTGCCATTTCCTTTTATTTTAACGCTAAGTCTTATCTTTAATCTTATTTATTTATCATTTTTGGATCAAATCAGTTCGCTTGTCTATAAACCACGTAACAAATTCAACTATACTGTCTTACGGGTAAACACTAAGGTCCCGTGGTTTTTTACCTCTTCACATTGAAAGGGTTTTCCACATAAATTTGGTGTCTCGTATCTTGATTACTTTTGCCTTGTTATTTTTCGGTTGTGTGTGGTATAGCTAGTGCCCGTATCACCATTTGTGCCAATTTTATTGTCTTCTCTTAGTTCAAGTAGATTGGAAAGATTTAGACTTAGGTTGTTTCCGCTATTTGCCTAGTCGTACAATTTGGTATTGCTTGTTTCTTCCCAACATCGAGCCTAACCTTTAATGGTTGGGGAAAGCATTACCCTCGCCTCACTTCCTATTCATTTGTGGGTCTGGACCCAAGAGCCTTTATTTTCAAGAGGTGATTTCGAGAATCAACCAACGGAAAAATCCGTAGCCCAGGTGACTCACAACCTCCCTCTCGCTCAAATAAATGAAATGGGATGAATCAAATCAATAAGCTTTTTGATTGTAGTATCATAGATATGTAACTTTTTATCATCGGTTGCAATTTTGTGAACACGAGAGTTAGAGATTTTTAAGTTTTATAAACCTGCTTATGACTTTCTGTTTCATAACCCAAAAATCCCTTGAGGTGTTAGCTGGCGCATCCCAGTTGGCGCACAAGTTTGAAATTTGGAGTATGAACATGCCTTTTTACGACCCTCACTTGAATGCAAACTTTAGTCACCGGCAAAATTTGATGCAAAACTTAAGTTAACAGCAAAGTTCGAATTTGTGATGTGTCCTTACCACAAATTCCGCCTCTACTTCCTGTGTTTGTTGAACCAAAGCCCTTTGTATCAAATGAATGTCAACTGTGCAACTCTCGTTCCTTCTCCTAATGCCGTCGGGTTTAATCATAGATCTATAACTTTAAACTCTACAACGAGAGCTTAACTGACAATAAAGTAATTGCCAACTCCAAGTGACAAACAAATAAGATTAGTTGAATCATTAAAACAGCATTGGTTTATATCTCTCAACCAAAAGTGAGTCTTGATCAGTTGAAATTAGTGATAGAGAGCATGCTGCTTACAATTGCTCACAGACTACGGTATTTCAACAACATTCTGATTGACGCAGAGAGCCTAACGTTGAAGAAAGAGCATATCAGTTGGATGGTCAATTTTTCAAAACAAAAATCTCAATTTACAAAAAATTTCTTGCTGAAGAATCTCATACTCGTCGCGACCAACAAAAATCATACAATCTCATATCCTAGATGAATGAATTAGAAATTGCCACCATATAACGCTTTATTCCTAAGATAAACCAAACTTCCTTTTACTGGAAGACAAATTGTAGGGCATAAAGCTTTCAAGAACATATTTGCTTATATCATTTCTTACTTGTCCAAGAACCACAGGAATCAATACTCCAAAAGACGTCGAAGCACTTCAAAATTTTATCTACAAGCAATTGGACCTACAGAATGAAGCCATACCCAAAAAAAAAAAAAAAAAAAAAAAAAAAAAAAAAAAAAAAAAAAAAAAAAAAAAAAAAAAACATAGTCATAGGTGCTAAACCAATTTAACATAGAGAAAATAGAAAACAGTCAAAACCACAACTTGTTTTGCTAAGGACATTAAGTTAGAATATTCGAACAAATTATACCCCTAAACTTGATGAGGTTACATAGTCGGGGCAAATGTGCAAGATGGTAATCTGAATGGTCATTCAATCACTAGAAAAATCTTCATAACTCAAATCTTCTGATATATTATCCAACCCGTTAATGTCTGCCAAAAAATAAGGAACAGATATAAGTACTGGTACACTAAGCTGAAGAATTCAATGTCACATGCCACACAACTAACCTTGATGTTCTGCCCTACCCTGAGGGTCCAAAAAATTGTTAGTATCTGTTGCAAGGAACGCTGACCCAGAGTAGCCCTCTAGAATATCTGTATAGAACAGAAAGTCAAAACATATAACAATGTAAAAGCGAGCAAGATATAAATCCAGAAGAGAAGACAGGCGCAAACCAGAACTGTTAGTAAAATCAGCTGTTAAGTCCGACAAACTGAAGTTTCGAGGAATCTGTCCCAAGAAACCAAAGGAAGAAGTATCAGCGCCCAAGCCGTTTCCGTTCAGAGCTTGTGAATTTGATCCTACATTGCTGAAAGGTGGAACAGATGGATGCCCAATTCCAGGACGAGCCTCCAGGACATTGCTCTCACTACCATATAGGAAGCGCGAGTCGCCTGAATAACCAGCTGATTTGATCATCCCATCATTCGGTCCTTGCATCATTCCCAGGTTTGAGCTTTGAGACAATAGCATGCTTGGTGATACATCAATTCTTCTTGCATGATCAGAAACATCGATAGCAGCTTGCACATATGATTGGACTGGGGATTCACCATTTGTGTAAATATGAGGTGAATTGCCATTAATTGTCTGGTGCATGTTCTCAAGCTTTACATTTTGCCCAGCATGCTCTGTTGCTTGCCATGTTGAGTTCTGTGGCACTGTCAATACGTGATAGCACATAATTTTTTTTCTTACAGTAAAGTATTTTATTGGATGAAATTGTGCAACGTTAAACAATAAAACAGGTTTACAAATGTATAAGACGTGTTTAATTCCGAGCGATGTACACTCCATGCTGAATCCGGACAAACATAAAAAGGGAAAGCTAAAATACCATACTTATCTCACGTTTGACGTGAAACTAAAGCAAACAATCCAAAAGGAAAACAGGAGTGGATAGTTCGTTTATCCGGGACTGGAGTTTGTCTTCCCGAAACAAGAACAGCAAACATGATGTTTTCAACCAAGCACCATTTGAACTCTCATTAGATGTCCTTCAAACTTCAGAAGAGATTAACAATCCCTGATAGAACTATTCTTCATAAAACAATAAGATAAAGAAAAAATTCCATATACACTTCCTAATCAGGTAGACAGCTTTCTTTACAATCCATAATAAAAGTGTGGAGCTTGATGATAGGCAATTCCCTACCTTTGCACTTAGCCATATGTCCAACAAGAGTTATCACAAGTGAATTTATTGTAACTAACAACACAACCTGCTTTATAATGTTCATCAAAAAACCTGTCTTTCGATTTAGTATAATGCTAGTCAATCAAATGCAGAAACTTGCCCAATATACATGATTAATACCAAATATACCATTACAGGTGATGGGGTTCTCTTTTCTTATTTTTTTTCTTTCCATTTTTTCTCCATTGGAGGGGGAGCAAGATGCGGTAGCAGATAAAGCACGGAAACAGAATATTTACTCATGACTTTAGCCACATGTGAGCTTAAATGGTTAAACCAGTTTTTTCTACATTTGGAATGTCAAAGTGGTGAACTAATAAAACTGACTTTTAACAAACAAGCCGCACAAAGTATTGCTTCACATTTCATGTTTCACAAAAGAAGCAGATAGCAGTAGATTGCCATTTTATGATCAAGCCAGGATGTATTGCCACACCTTCATCGCTTCAAATGACCAACTACTGTATATCCTAATAAATCACTTCGAGGCTCCAAAATTAATCACACCAGCGACAAAGACTGAATGATATATAAACTGCATCTTGAGGGGCTCGTTTGCAATATTTGAAAGTATATATCAGTTAAAAGTTTTGATTAGTTTCTTTTCTTTTTTTTTATAACCAAGTAATCTCTTATGAGTTAGTTCGCGCAATCTCAGTTGGCTCACAGGTTGAAACTTGGGGAGTATGGGCCCATCCCTCTACCATGGTACCTCTTACATACTAGGCTTTTTGTCGATGGTAGAGTTCGAACTCGTGGAGACCCTATCCATACATACCCTGTTGTGTCCTAACTACCGAACCAAAACCATCTGGACAAGATATGAAAATAGTATGTATCAATTAAGAATATTTATGCCCGTAACATCTTTTCGCATTTTGGTCTAAGTAAATGTTACTTAAAACCCAATATCTTAAGGGAATAATCAAGCTGAACATTCCTAAAAATGTCTCATTCCTTTATCATTCAACAGTTTTTAATTTTGGAAACAAAACCAAGGGCATCAAATTAAAGTACTTATGAATATAAGAACAAAAACTGTAAAAGCCTAGAAATGTACATTATCAGTTAACCATAAGTCCAAAGAACAGTAATGTTGTCCTAATAAGATGGGATGTCAATAATGTATTCAGGTGATTGAAGGATCTATCAACTTCATTAACTTCCAGATGGAAAACTTTGGATACATATCCAAAGTTTTTGCAAAGAAAGATTTTGAGACTGCTAACATGATACTGTGGAGAAAGCCAAAATTTCATTTATTGCTCCCTCTATTTCTATCAAACTTCTACTCAGTTTCACAATATGAAGATCAAGAAACGAATTTTATCATATCCACCAACTCTGACAAGTGCCCACAGTCTCATACTGAAAACACAACCACAGCGCCCAAAGACAGATCCCTCTCGGACACTTTTTCTGATAAAATCCTTCCCACAACTATCCATATGATTTACATTTCATCTTCCACTTCAAAAGCCTCAGACCTTTCCTTTTGACTATCCAACCCAAAATCGTAATAGGGCAATAGTATGAAAAATTAAAGCAAGGAAGCTGAAAACTGGAAAAGGGTGGGGATCTATGACGAAGTTCACAAAAGAAGAATGATAGCAGAAAATTATTTCCAAGACGACCAATAGGGATCTATGATATTCATGTCTTACCTGGTTGAATCTGAGATCCATTAGAAATGGGGACGGATCCAGTTGCATACATCTGCATTGCCTCGACCTGTCTCTGAAGTAAGTCATTGAATTTCTGAATTTGATCCTTCACTATCAACCTCAAATAATAAGCCCTGAAAAACTCCTGGTTTTCTTCTTCAAGCTTTTGCCAAACTGGAAAAGAGATCAAGATGTCAAATTTATCTTCCAGTAGACACACATGGAGCACATAGATCACAACCAGCTACTTGAGATAAGAAGGCCAAGCAGAGTCTGAAAGAAATTCTATAAATAATTTCAGATATTTTCATCTCTATCAGAATTAAGCTTAAATATTTAATTTTCGACAGGTAACTAATACTTCTCCGAAATATAAGTAGGGGGAAAACGCCTTCCATTAAAAGGGAAACGATCTTCTAACAATTTTCTGCCTGTTCATCATAATAATGCTCATAACACGTCAATTTTTCTATTTTATTTCCTCATGGTCATATTGTCTTCCAAATTCAGTAATTTTTATGAAATTTGAGAGTACAGATAAATATGTTACCTGCAAAAGTCAAAAGCATAATATTGGCAAAATATGAGGAACAGAATGGTAAGAGAGAGTATGCACCAAGTTCGGTGAAATCGGGCTCAATCTTTGCCTGATGTAAGAGGGTGTTAACAACTTCCTTCTGGTTCATGTAAAGCTGTAAACATCTTTCTATGAGATTTTGCACCTGAAATCAAAGGACGTCAGTGTTAGGAGAGCAAAGCTTGTGCAATGCAATTTTAAAATACGAAAGAACTAAATTTGAACTCCAAATCATTATTAGTAAGAATGAAGTAAAAGATGCGAAAAGTTATCTCACCAACAAAAATTAAAGGTTCTAATTATTGCCATGAAAACCTTTCTTTTTTGGGGGGGAGGGGGAATAAACCACCAGAGAAACCCAATAGAACAAGAATGGCAGCAACATTATCTGAACTGAGAAAGAGAAAACACGGAACTATAAACCTATGACAGATTCGCACGTAATCAACTACATCAACACCTAGGATACAAAATACTTCCATATCAGCCCCAAGAAGCCCATCTCCTTAAGAAGGTCCATCAGAAGATTGTAATGCTGTTCTTTATGATAATTCCCCATAGAACTTGGACAACATGTGAAATAGCAGATAGATCCATAAGAATATTGCAGTATTCTCCTCTATGATAATCTAATTTAACCCTTCAAATAGGAAAGAGAACTCCATAGTTCCTTTTTCCTCCCTAATGATCTCTGACTCATATATCTACTGGAGACCAATAAATAACCTATGACCACAAGTAAAGTTAACACAAAATAAATGGACAAAAATTGTGAATCAGGCTAAATTAAAGGAAGACTATTTTCAACAACAGCCTTGCTTGTTTCAAATAACAGCCTTGCTTGCATATTCTGGTATTTGCTTTAATTGAAATATACATTCTTGTTTTACAGGGTTAGGCAAAAATTCTTGTGGGGGTGAAGTATCTTTTGCCTTGAAGTAACTTAAAGAGTGGTAAGTATCAAAAATTATATATAACGATTATGAAATTATTCACACAACTCAATCAAGTACTTGCTCTATATGCTCAAAGAAAAAAGTCTGCTCTATGTCTTTCCATTTGATTCAGGATCATAAATGATTCATACAGAAAAAATGGGAAAGTCAATTTTATGATAGTAGCTCGATGCTTACCAGTTGTATATCTTCACGTGAGACTTTCTTAACCTCCCCACTAGACATTTTTCAATCTTCCAATGCCAAATACGCTCAGCAGAAACTCGACACAATTCCTGTTGACAAGCCCCGGTAAAGAAAAAATCCACTACAATTGATATCACCTGATAAGATACGTAACTTCTAGATAATTAGGATGTAGTCACCAAAAAACGCTAAAAAGAAAATTTAAAAGATTACACAGAGAAGCTAGTAATACACATACGAAAGACACAACACTATGACATCAAGCAAAACCACAGCAAAATGCAGGTAATAGGGTTGAGGAGAAATATCTAAATGCACGTGAACATAGATGTTAAGAATATTGTAGTTATACCGCAATATCAATTAGGGAGATTCATTAACAGTAAGGATCAATAAAGAAGATGCTTTGCTTGTAATTATGTACTCTGTGAATTCCTTCTATTTTAGGATATTTGTACAGCACTGTTTAAACTCCTACTAGCTTAATGGCACAATCAAGCTGAAATATTGCCAAAACATCTCTCTCTTTTCTCTGCATGGTACCAGACAGGATTTTAATCCCATATTTGTAACTTCAATTTTTCCTATGTTCTACTGCAAAGGAAAGAAAACGAGAGAGAGAGATGATTGCAAAATCAAATCGTGAGAAATACTTTTCTAGTCAATCTCGTCTCCTACAATTACCGCTGTTAAATTGCACGGCAGAAGTAATCATGTCTCTTCAGAAGTTCAAGCACATTTATGGTTCACAAGTCAAGGATATGACCACCACCTGATCAACCACATGGATTAAAGTAGATGCAAGACTGTGCAGTTTGCTATGCCATTTTCTTGATCCCCAAGCACAAATCAATTGCATTCATGAAAAACCAGTTGTAAGATATGGACTATGTCTAAAGCTTTGCATGCAGATTAATTTTTTGATAAGGAGAACTTGAATACGGATTATATTCAGCATAGTTATGTGGTAGCTGTTAGTGTACATATATGTAAAGTGTAGTCTTGTCCCACATTGGAAGAGGAGTAATATCTCCTTGTAGTGTATAGCTATAAATAGGGACCTCTTATATTGTATTTATTATCCAATATCAATAACATATTTTCTCCCGTGCCTTCTCACATGGTATTAGAGCATTAGTGAGAAACCCGTCGTTGTGCATCATTCCAGCGACTTCCGGGAAGAAAGACCTCTTCGCCGTGCAATTTTCCGGCGACTTAGAAGGCCGTCCGTAAGCAAATCATTTTTTGTTGGTGTTGTGCAAAAACCAACACCACCACAAGACTCCTCAGGCTCCGGCGACCAAACCCCAGTCAACCCCACCTGAAAACACATGTCCACGCGCCCTCACGCGCTTGGAAAAGAAAAATATTTCCGGCGAGATCTGACCCACGCGCCGGCGCGTGAGCACTGTTCCGGCCAGATTTTGAAAAAGTTCCAGTTGAACAGTAGGATCGCCTGGTAATTCCGATCCTACCCTCACTGGTTTTGTTTCATTCCGACCACTTTGAGTGTTTCCGCCAGCTACAGTAGATTCCGGCGAGCTACAGTGTTTCCGGCGCAGAACAATGTTCTGTTTTCCTACTGTAAATAGTGTTTTCAAGCTTTTGCTTCAGTTTTTTCACAGGAGTTACTTATTCCCACTATTTCAAGTTAACCCTACTACTACAAATTGTAGCGACATGGGAACCGATGCTTTGAATAGTCGGATGGTTTCTTTAGCAGATTATATTGAGTTCCTTCAGTACAAAGCATGTAAGCAGACATCTTCTGAGATAGCTTCTGTTATTCAAACAGGTAATAGCGTGACTTGTTTCTCCCAATCTTCATCCTCTGAGTCTTGGGTCATTGATTCAGGTGCATCAGATCATATTTCTGGTAACAAATCTCTTTTCACTACTATTTCGTATTCTCAATCTCTTCCAAAAGTCACAATGGCCAATGGGTCTCAAACCATGGCAACTGCAATAGGTCAAGCAAGCCCACTTCCTTCCTTACCTTTAGATTCAGTCCTTTATGTTCCCAATAGTCCTTTTAATCTCATAGCTGTTAGTCGCTTAGCCAAATCACTTAAATGCGCTGTTTTATTTCTTGATGACCATGTTTTTATACAGGAACGCAGTACGGGGCGGATCATTGGTACCGGGCGTGAATCAAACGGACTTTATTACCTTATCCTTGCTAAATCACATGGAATCGTATCTTGTCTTCCTTCTACAACTTGTCATGTTACTGATTCACCAGATTTATTACTTAAACGGTTGGGACATCCCAGTTTGTCAAAACTTCAGAAAATGGTATCTAGTTTATCTCATTTGTTAGCTCTAGAGTGTGAGTCATGTCAGCTCGGTAAGCATACTCGCTCCCATTTCCCTCGGCGTCTTGATAATCGAGTAGAGTCACATTTTACTTTAGTCTATTCAGATGTTTGGGGTCCTAGTCGGGTCAGTTCCACCTTGGGATTCCGCCACTTTGTTAGTTTCATTGATGATTATTTCAGGTGCACTTGGATATTTTTGATAAAAAATCGATCTGAGCTGTTTTCTATTTTCCAGACCTTCCACGCTGAAATTCAAAATCAATTTGGGGTTTCTATTCGCACATTTCGTAGTGATAATGCCCGAGAGTATTTGTCTTCCCCATTTCAGCAGTTTATGAAATCTCATGGGATTATTCATCAAACATCTTGTCCGTACACATCTCAACAAAATGGGGTAGCTGAAAGAAAGAATAGACATCTTATTGAAACTGCTCGTACCCTACTCATACAATCTCATGCTCCGTTGCGTTTTTAGGGGGATGCAGTTCTTACATCTTGCTATCTTATTAATCGTATGCCATCTTCAGCTATCCAGAACCAAGTTCCATTCTCTGTCATGTTTCCCCACTTACCTTTGTTCTCTCTTCCACCCCGTATCTTTGGAAGCACTTGTTTTGTCCATAACCTTACTCCAGGAACAGATAAGTTAGCTCCTCGTGCTCTTAAGTGCGTATTTCTGGGTTTCTCGAGAACACAAAAGGGGTATCGATGCTACTCTCCTGACCTCCAGCGGTACCTTATGTCCGCTGATGTTACCTTCTTTGAAACCCAATCATACTTCACAGGTTCAGGTCATCACTTAAATATTTCTGAGGTACTACCAGTTTCATCTTTTGGAGATTCAGTCACTCCAGCTCCACCACCTACAACTCCAGTTGTAGCTCCACCACCTATAGCTCCAGTTCCTCCACATAAACTAGTCCAACCTTCTGCAGCTCCACCACTCTTGACTTATCATCGTCATCCACATCCAGCATCAAGCCCAAGTGATTCACGCCCCGCATCAGATTCTGCACCTACTGCGGACTTGTCTCCTCTTAGTCAACCAATTGCACTCCGCAAAGGTATACGATCCACACTTAATCCTAATCCCCACTATGTCGGTTTAAGTTATCATCGCTTGTCATCACCTCATTATGCTTTTATATCTTCTTTGTCCATTGTTTCTATCCCTAAGTCTACAGGTGAGGCACTATATCATCCAGGATGGCGACATGCTATGATTGACGAGATGTCTGCTTTACATGCGAGTGGCACTTGGGAGCTTGTTCCTCTTCCTGCANTCGAGAACACAAAAGGGGTATCGATGCTACTTTCCTGACCTCCAGAGATACCTTATGTCTGTTGATGTTACCTTCTTTGAAACCCAATCATACTTCACAGGTTCAGGTCATCACTTAAATATTTCTNATGGGCTTGATTATAGTAATACTTTCTCTCCCGTGGCTAAAGTAGCATTTGTTCGTCTCTTTTTGTCCATGGCTGTTGTACGTCATTGGCCTCTTTATCAGTTAGACATTAAGAATGCTTTTCTCCACGGTGATCTTGAGGAAGAAGTTTATATGGAGCAACCACCTGGTTTTGTTGCTCAGGGGGAGTTTAATGGTTGTGTGTGCAGATTGCGCAAGTCACTATATGGTTTGAAACAGTCCCCTCGAGCTTGGTTTGGTAAGTTCAGCACAATTATTCAGGAGTTCGGCATGACTCGTAGTGAGGCTGATCACTCTGTGTTTTATCGGCATTCTGCTCCTAATCTGTGTATTTATCTAGTGGTTTATGTTGATGATATTGTTATTACTGGCAATGATCAGGATGGTATTTACTAATCTGAAGCAACATCTCTTTCATCACTTCCAGACTAAGGATCTGGGCAGATTGAAGTATTTTCTAGGTATTGAGGTCGCTTATTCTAGCTCAGATATTGTTATTTCACAGTGGAAGTATGCCTTAGACATTCTTGAGGGGACTGGAATGATGGGTTGCAGACCTATTGACTCTCCTATGGATCCGAATGCTAAGCTCCAGCCTGGACAGGGGGAGCCTCTTAGAGACCCTACGAGATATAGGAGGTTGGTTGGCAAATTGAATTACCTCACAGTGACTAAACCTGATATTTCTTTTCCGGTGAGTGTTGTAAGTCAGTTTATGGATTCTCCCTGTGATAGTCACTAGGATGCAGTTGTTCGCATTTTTCAGTATATAAAGTCAGCTCCAGGCAAAAGATTACTATTCGAGGATCGAGGCCACGAGCAGATTGTTGGGTACACAGATGCTGATTGGGCAGGATCACCTTTTGATAGACGTTCTACGTTTGGATATTGTGTTCTCGTAGGAAGTAACTTGGTCTCGTGGAAGAGCAAGAAACAGAATGTAGTTGCTCGATCTAGTGCCAAAGCCGAATATCGGGCCATGGCTATGGCGACATATGTGTTAGTTTAGGTCAAGCAGTTGCTCAAGGAGTTAAAGTTCGGAGAAATCAGCAAGATGGAGCTAGTGTGTGATAACCAAGCTGCTCTTCATATTGCGTCAAATCCGGTGTTCCATTGTGAGGACTAAACACATTGAGATCGACTGTCACTTTGTCAGAGAAAAAATACTTTCAGGAGATATTGTTACAAAGTTTGTAAAGTCGAATGATCAACTAGCAGATATTTTCACTAAGTCTCTTACTGGTTCTCGTATTAGCTACATGTGTAACAAGCTCGGTACATATGATGTGTATGCACCGGCTTGAGGGGGAGTGTTAGTTTACATATATGTATATTGTAGTCTTGTCCCACATTGAAAGAGGAGTAATATATCCTTATAGTGTATAGCTATAAATAGGGACCTCTTATATTGTATTTATTATCCAACATCAATAACATATTTTCACCCGTGCCTTCTCACAGTAGCATATGGACCTTTCTGTATATCTTGTTGAATATAGTATGAGTTCTATATAAAGCAGTGGAAAGAGCTACGGCAAGTTGAAAAATGAGAAAGATGGATGCCAGGAAAAGAGATGCACGGAAGGAAACTCCAGTATGTTGATGAATTGCAGAAAAACGAATAGAGGAACATGTGAAGGCATTGAAAGACAGATATGTATTGGCAATAAGTCAAAGCCCATTTTGTTGATATTAACGTTTGCAGCAAGATGCGAGTAACACTTAGGAGCTACGCAAGGAGAGAACAGGCAAAGTAACAGAAGAGAGAGAAATTCCAGGAGCCTAAATCATTCCCTTTAAAATATGCTAAGCTGCCAAGTGGTATGAAGCTTCAGCAGACCCCAGGCAACAACAAACACTCATTATTCAACAACAACAACAATAACAACCCAGAGTATTCCCACAAGTGGGGTCTAGGGAGGGTAGGATGTACGCAGCCTTACCCCCCTACCCTGGAAGATCAGATTGGAACAAACACTCATTATTCACCTCATAAAATCACTCCTCCACCATAAAAACTTAAAACCATAAGTTATGGAAGAGCTAGGATTTCTTAATTTTGCGAATAGGGGTTGAGGGGCATGAAGAGAACTTTTAACACATTTTTTGAGATAAGCAAGAACTTGTCCATGTCAACAGAGATATGATAGGTGAAGTTCGTATAATATGTTAAAATTAAAATACAATGTTTAGCTTCATCTAGAAGTGATCTCTATTGGTAGGCATGCTTCAATAGGAATCACAAAAGGGTAGATTAGAAACCTCTTGTAAATGCCCGCCCGTAACCCAGCAGATAAAGTACACCTCATTGCAGTAATTTGTACTTAACTCAATTACAAACCATAGACTAATAATACAAGAATAGCTTCTAGACATCTCTCGTAAACACTACATCTTCACAATATTCTTTCAGCCAAAAATAATTATAGCATCATTTAGACTGGTATCTCCTTGTAGAATGTTAGGTATTCCTTTATAGTATCATAACTTCATAAGGTACTTGCTTTGTGTTATGTATAGCATAACACAAAGGGAATCGAATGTAAAAATCTTTTTAAAAAAGCAATAACTACTTCAGGGATACCGAGATGAGACACTTAAACATAACGAGTGGCGGAGCCACAACCAATGAAAGGGGTTCAATTGGATCTCCTTCGCTCAATAACTATACTACGCAGATACAATTAAATAAATAATTTTTTCGTATATATATAAACTTTTGAATTCTCTCGACTTAAATTAGATCGCAAGTTTGAAATTTTTGAATCCCCTTGTTAAAATTCTTGGTTCCGCCACTGAACAGAACCACCATAACTCTATATGATCTATAAGGAAAACTTTACTTCATAAAATGGAAAATAAACAACAATCAAATATTTCTTACCGTTTTCAAACATGTACAACTACTACTTAATCCTAAGCAAGTTGGAATCAGCTTATTCTGCTATATGAATTGTTCACTGTGCATGTTGCTCAATTTACACCCGTGTCAGTTCAATATAAATGTAAATAACTTTTTTCTAGCATTAGAAGTTCTTTGAGTTTTCAAATGTGTTGAGTTCAAGATATAAAGGGCAATCATTGGAAAGAAAAAGTCATAACGAAACTTTACCTCTGTTACACTAATTAGTTTGCGGAATTACCAAAGCTAGAAGAAAATCGCCGGCGAAGCCAAATCGGAAAAGCCGCCGGTGCCGGCACTCTGATTCTGTTCACCGCTTCCTCGTTTTTTCTCTTTTTCTGCAAAGTTGTTCGAAGAGATCACCGATGACGAGATCCTTATACGGTCACTTTTTAAGTTCTATTTTCTGATATCGTAGTCACTGAGACCCCACTAGTTTTGTAAAACTATGAATTGACCCCGGATCCAAAATAGAAACAGTTAAGACAGTTACCTCTCCTTTTCAATAGTGTTTTATAATTATAGGGATTTTTCCATTATCCCTATTTATGTTTGATACTCGGGATTATTCTATGCAATGATAGCGTAAAAATATTTGATACATTAAAAGGGTAATTATTGATAAATTTTTGTAGTAAATATTGGTTGAAACTACATATATGAAAGAATCTTGTCATTTTTATCAAGTTAAACGACTTTTATAGTGTATTACAGTTTTATATGAAATATTACCAATTATATTTTTTTCTAGACATTTATCTGTATTTGCCTTATTTAATAATCATTACAGGAGCACACTTATTTTCTTTGTTTGCCCCACTTCCATAACTATACTATGTTACTAAACTTTATTCATAACCAAATACCAAAAAATTAATTTGAAATCAATTCTCTTTTCTAAATTATTCTTCACAGAGGATATTTTCATGCAAAACATTTTACATCACATCAAACAGTTAACCACTGTGTCACTAATTATTTTATCAGTTTAACATAACGATAAGAGTATTACAAGAGCTTTTTTCCCCCCTCAAGGAGGTTAGGATGTGATATATAAACATTCATATATTGTTTTCTACTGTGACTTCTCATGACCATTTCTCAGAAAAACATATCAAACACTATTATTTATAAAATAGCGCAAGGACTATAGGTGTTTTTTTTTTCTTCTTCTTCTTTTCCACAAGGAGGTTTAGGAAGTGATATATGGACATTCATATAATGTTTTCTATTGTGAACTTCTTAATCATTTTCCAAATAAACCAATATTTATACAAAACAAATGAATATTGTTTAGCAACCCTATTGCATGATGTCGTGATTGAATTTTAAAAAACGAAGCATTTTCTCCATTGTTTTCCCCCTTTTTTTCCCCTAACTTTGTAACTCAAAATGCATATACTGGACTTAGTTGAGGACAGTGACTTGAAAAGGGCAAGCCCAAAAGATTACTATATATAGCCAGAGTCACTCAGGCCCATAGCCAACCATAGTAGCATTCTGCAATAAGGTCGACTGTTGTGAACCAAGCTCATTCCATAAGGGCCTATGGGCTAAATGTGGTGGATGAGACTGAGTCAGTTGGGATAGTTGGGCTGAGTAAATATTCGAGAATTTTATTGAGTTTTTTACACGTTTTTTTTTAATTATTATTTTAAAAAAATAGCATCATTTATTATTTATTCCATAAAGAGCACTTTTATTTTTATTATTAGCATATTATAAAAATTAAGCTCAACATTTAATAAGTTAACTGACTCACTAATCACAGGAAGTACTTTATTTGTCCATCTCCATTCTCCCATTCCAACATTCATTTTCTTCACTCCATTTTTGAAAATCTAATACATATGTGAATGCCACCTAAATTCAAGATGTATTGATTTATACGTCTTTTATACTTTGTATATCAAGTATCACTTTAATTCAAAATATATTTTTATGTATATAATTTTTGTATATTTATTTGTGAAGTGCCATCTTATTTTAAGATGCATTTTTAATGTATATTTAAAATATATTTTATATGCCAAGTGCCATTTTAATTCAAGTGGAATATATATATATATATATATATATATATATGCTATCTTAATTAAATTTAAGATATATTTTTTATGTATATTTCACATGTCTAAGTGTCATCTTAATTGAAGATGTATTTTTTTAATATATTTTTTGTATATTTTTTATATATACGTTTTGTATATATTAACGTATATTATTATCGAAGTAAGATCTTTATGTTAAGAAAGGAAGAGAAAAACTTAAGAAAGATAATTAAAAAGAAAATAAATGGAACAAATTTAGAAAATATATTGACTTCGGCAGAAAACAAAATTATGAAGATGAAGAAAAAGAAGAAAATCTAATAGATAAAGAGAGAAAAAAATGGCATGATTTTTGTACAAAGAATTATTGACTTTCTATTCAAATTGCTTATGTTTGGGGATTAATAATTAATATTCCTATTTTAATGGAACTATGTACTACAAATATAAATATTTTCCTACTACAACTGTAATATTGGATTTCATGATAAGAATTTGTTATATTTTTTTTAAACTATGACAGTTAAGTAAAATTTGGGATTCATGACCATTTAGCAAACAGTTAAAAAGGACTAGGAGAGAGAATGGATTATGCCTATTGTAAATGTCCGTACCTCTCATCTCCTTGCTCTGAGTCTAAGCTTCTCATCTCCCTTCTTTTATTTCTGTATTTTCTCCTATATCCACAACTATCTTAATTTCGGTATTTCTATTGTTAGGCTGCAATTTGAGTGCTGATTCAGCTACTAGTAATTGTAATAGAGTGTTAGTTCTTATTAATATACTTTGAGATTGTAGTATTCGTTGCATCGACCAAAACTACACTGCCATCAAACCATGTTCCTCTCATATCAAAGTAAACAAATTGAGAACACATAGAATGAGATGTAGAATTTCAATAAAGCACGTGAATTCGAATAATTTGAAGTTTCTAATAATCATCTCATTTTGAAAGAGGGAACTTTATAGGAGATTGCTCACCTTATAAGATATCGTCCTTTTACTGAAATAGGCGGTCCGTGTTACTGAAATAACACTTTCAAAATGTTAACTTGTTTATAAGAAGAAAATAATTTAAATTCCATTCGACTCTAACGTCAAATCATCTAGAAGAAAAGACAAGAAAGGTCACTATATTCAACTCTCCAAAGCAAAACTTATCCAAACCACTTATTGCATCCTGTAAAGTTACCCAAATCTTTCTTCTTTAGGGAAGAAGATTTTGAGGAAGCTAAGTACTTTTAAACAAAGTGAACAAGGATGGGCGTGAAACTTTAATAGTCAATGCTGCATTCGTCAAAGTTAGTTCAAATTCTGGGGAGCAATTGATATTTGAAAGTTTTTGATATTCTCCGATCGCGTAAAAGCTCGGAAGAAATCTAAAAGAACAAACAAACAATACTTAACAAACCAACAACAAGAGATAAAATCTTAAAAATGTATGTGCATTCCAATACTTTGAGGTTTGAATGGTCAAAGACAGTGGAAAATACTATGTTTGGCTAAATTTATAAGCTGGTTAAATTGGCTTATAAGCACTTTTTGACTTATCTACACGTTTGGTAAATATCCAAAATACTTATAAGCTAAAATCAGTCATAAGTTGGTCACTCCCAACTTATGGCATTTTAGCTTATAAGCACTTTTAGTTTGACCAAGGCTTTTACTAGTTTATCCTTAATAATATTTTCTAATTCACAAAATATTTTTCCCAAAATAAATTTTCTAACTTTCTTTACATTCCATATTCATTGTTCATCTTTTTTTTTTTTACAAAGAAACTTTTTAATATATAACCTTTTGTAAAGTTTTTAAGGATATTTTAGTCATTTTAATAAAAGAACAACTTATCAGCACGTTTCTATCAAACACATCAACTGCTTATTATCAGTTCCAGCACGTCTATCCAAACACGTAAATGCTTATTTAAAAAATCACATTCAGCACTTAAAAATGCTTTTCAGCACTTCAAACTTATCAGCAATTTACAATCAGTTAATCCAAACGGGCTCTATGATGCGTAGAGAAAATTGCTCACTAATAATAAGATCTATCGTCTTTTCATGTGTCTTTTAATTTAGATAGTTATCATGCTCACACAAATGTCTTTTATTAGAGCGAAAAATCTGTATATACGGTCGAAATCGAGCTCGCCTACGACTTGGTAAGTTAGGTTTGGAACGTGACAACTAAGGAATATCCCACCGATCTAGGACCCGAGGTCGGTACGCCTGCCTTCGACTAGCGGTGAGTCCGATGTCGACCTTAGCCTCGAACGAGCTTGGAGAGACATTGTTGGGATAACCAACATAAGACCAAAATAGCGGAAGGCCGAATATTCATAACTGGTCGGATATTACGGCGGGAATATCGGCACGTATCAATAGGGAACCAGCAAATCAACAAACCAGGAGATTTTTACCTTTTATAGTATTGTACCTAAAGTAGGACTCCCCTACTGTATAAAAAGGGTCTGATTACTTGTGAAACACACTGTAACTCACATTCCAAAGCAATATATTATTATTTTTAGTTCTTATTATTCTCTTGTCATTCTGTTCTGATATCGATAAAAGCACTTTTGGCTCGAGGGCGTCTAACTTTCTAAGGTTAAGACTGTTCAACCTGTGTGGTTTGCATTTACTTTTCCATTGTTTATTTCAATTTCAATTTCAATCTGATTTATCATTTTGTATCAAGCTAGATCATGTATCCTTAAAACCACATACAAATCTAATTGTTATCCAATTTTGAGGGTAAACAGTTTGGCGCCCACCGTGGGGCTAAGGATAATAGTGGTTATTTGATACAAATCTCCATAACAAACACTACTTTATGCTTGCTCTTTGAAGTGTCTCTGATTTCAGGTTAAAACACAAAATGTCGAACTCTTAATCAGCACCCCTACATGTTGACAACGAGTCTGGTTACCACGGTGAAAATAATAACGTAACACCCGGTAACGAGGTACCGCCCGCTGATCCCATCGAAATTCCAGTCGCAGACCCAATTGACGCTAATTCACATGTGGCTATCGACGCAAACTTGCCAACTGGCCCCGAGAATAGCGTCTGTGGTGGAGCCAGATCGGCAACTCAAAATACACAAAACATTGGAGGGACGGGATCAGTTTGTGGGTGATCTACGAAATGCTGCAAGCTCAACAAGCGGTGATAGCTCAATTACAGAACCAAAGCCGTGCACCGAATAGAGTTGAACCCGATCTACCTCGGGAAGTCACCCGCAGGGATGAACCGGTCGCAGAAAGGCCGAATGAACATGAATCGGGGGCTAACCCCGAGATCATAAAGATGCTCGAAGAATTGACAAAACGGATAGAATTAGGGGA